ACAGACTTTATTAACTAAATGCAAAATACTGCAGATGCTGGAAATCTGAAAAAAAAACAGAAGTCGCTGGGAACACTCAGCAGATCAGGCAGCATCTACGAGAAAGGAAAGTAAGTCAATGTTTCGGGTCCACGACCCTTCGTGAGTGAACAATTTTATTTGGTGGATTGTTGGCCTGGACACCAGGAGAGAGAAACTCCTTTCTCTTGTTGAATAGCGCCGTGGGATCTTTAACATCCACATGAAGACGCAGATGGTTTAACATCTCATCCAAACGAAAGCATCTCTGACAATGCAACACCTCCCCAGCACTGCACTGTAATGTGGAGTCCTGTAGCTGAGTGGTTAGAGCACTCGCTTTGCAAGTGAGAGACCTGAGTTCAATTCCAGACAGAGGGTGAAACCTTGGGCAAGTTTCCTTACTCCACACAGAGCCTAATAATAATCCTCCAAAACCAAAAACAATAATAAATTGGTCATTTTCAATCTACGACTGTTTGTGGGACATTGCTGTGCGCAATTGGCTGCCGCGTTCGCCCACAAATATACAGTCAATTCACTTTACAGTGTGTTCTATGAAGCGCTTTGGGACGTCCTCCCGACGTGAAAAGCGCTATATCAAATGCAAGGATTATTATTATTATTAATGTCAGCTTAGACAATGTGATTCCAAGTCCTGATGTGGGGCTTGAACCCACAAGCTTCTGACTCAGAGGCACTGTGCCAGGCTGACACTTATGAAAAGAAGACAATTATGAAAGCATTTGATAGGCAAAGCCACATCACAGTCCTTTCCCCCTCCTACTTCCCACTCTGTGTTTCTTTTTAATAATAATCCTGTAGCTCAGTAGTTAGAGCACTCGCTTTGCAAGCGAGAGACCTGAGTTTGATTCCCGGCCGGGGTGAAACCTTGGGCAAGTTTCCTTACTCCACACGCCTGATAGTAATTCCTCAAGAAAATAAAACAATAATAAATTGTTCACTTCAAACCACGACTGTTTGTGGGACTCTGCCGTGCGCAATTGGCTGCCGCGTTGCACCTTCAAATATACAGCCAATTCACTTTACAGTCTATTCTGTGAAGCGCTTTGAGACATCTAGAAGACGTGAAAAGCACTATATCAAATGCAAGGATTATTATTATTATTATCTCAAAGCGCTTCATAGCATATACTGTAAAGTGTAGCAACTGTATATGTTGTGGGTAAAACCTCATTCCTTGCTGCATGACTGAGTTTTGATCCTTGTTTTGCCTATCTGGCTTATCAAGAGAAAGGTTCCGCCATAAAGCAGTCCTTATCTCCAAGTTTTCAGTGCAAGACAGGATATGGGCATGAAAATGAATCACATTAATCCTTGCATTTGATACAGCGCCCGTGACGACAAAATGTCTGAAACCTCAGGAATGTTTATTTGTGGGTAATGCAGCAGTCATGATTGGGTTATCTAAGAGAATGTCAGCTCGGACAGTGGGAGAAATTCCCTTCTCTTTTCAGTCTAAGTCTATTGTCTAAGGTGATGCTCCAGTGCAGGGCTGGGGGGAGAATCGTTGCATTGTCAGAGGTGCCGTCCTTCAGAAGAGACGTTAAACCGAGACCCCGTCTGCCTGTTCAGGTGGATGTTAAAGATCCTGCGGTGCTGTTCGAAAAGCGAAGGGAGTTTCTCTCTCCCTGTGTCCAGACCAACAATCCCCCAAATAATATTGGTCACTCGCTCCTTGGCTGCTTGTGTGATGCCGCTGTGCGCAATTGGGCTGCCACATTTGCCTGCAAAATACACCATTTGGACATTGCTGTAGGCAAATTGACTGCTGCATTCGTCCACAAAACACACGGTCACTTCATTGTGCAATACACAGTATCTTGTAAATATCCATTCGGGACGTTATCCTTGATATGAAAGACACTGTACCATACGTAATTATTATTATTTGAGACGTCTCAATGACGTGATAAGGCGTTATATCAAATGCAAGGATTATTATTATTATTATTATCATTAATTGCTCCCTTAGTATTGTATTGGAGCCGAGACTGTGAGCTCAAAGTTCTGATGTGGAGCTTGAACAACTTATTGAGGGTATGGGGAAAGGAACAGGGGAATGGGATCAGAGTAGAGGGTGGGACGGGGAGGGGAAGAAAACGAGCAAGCAAGAACATTTGCTTAAACAATGCATCAAAGGCACCAAGGTAAAAAGAAAATTGAGTTAAGAAATATTTTAACATTTTATTATTTTTCTCTCGTGACAATAACAGACAGAAACATCAGCAACCAGGAGTGAGGGTAAAATGTCAAATGATATCCTCGAGTGGTGCAGGGTGATTTTTGGGACTGAAAGTTGGTTCCTGGATCGGAGGGCTGAAATTCCACCTAGTCTTAGCCCGTGGGACTACTTTGTGGGGTGTAAATTCCGTTCAGCCTTGCCTCTGGTATTGTTGTTGTTCAATGGAAATTTTCGGTTTAACTGATCCCAACCCTCATCTCAGGTATAAATCATTGCTTGTCCAGCAGCTTGGGACATCCTCCCGACATGAAAGATGCTGCGCAAATGTAATTTGTTATTGTTGCTGTTGTTGTACCTCTCAAAGCCTTGGGGATCACTCCACGGAATTTCTGCCCATTTCTCTTAAGATTCAAGACAACACAGGTCTCCAACTTGGAAACTGGTTCAGATTTAAGGCACAATAGGGAAAGGGTTTGGAGTAGAGAGCTCTAGTGGGGGAGCGAGCACCAGCACAGACACCATGGGGAGAGAGCAGGGGAATGGGGTTAGAGTAGAGAGCTCCAGTGGGGGAGCGAGTACCAGCGCAGACACCATGGGGAGAGAGCAGGGGAATGGGGTTAGAGTAGAGAGCTCCAGTGGGGGAGTGAGCATCAGCACAGACACCATGGGGAGAGAGCAGGGGAATGGGGTTAGAGTAGAGAGCTCCAGTGGGCGAGTGAGCATCAGCACAGACACCATGGGGAGAGAGCAGGGGAATGGGGTTAGAGTAGAGAGCTCCAGTGGGGGAGTGAGCATCAGCACAGACACCATGGGGAGAGAGCAGGGGAATGGGGTTAGAGTAGAGAGCTCTAGTGGGAAGCGGACAACAGTATGTACACTTTGCGGGAGAGAACATGCGGGTGTGAGGAGAGAGCATGCAGGGGGGCGAGAGCATGCAGGGGGGGCGAGAGCATGCAGGGGGGAGAGAGCATGAGGGGGGTGGAGGGAAGAGAGAGCATGCGGGGGGGGGGGGGGCGAAAGAGAGCATGCGCGGGGGGAGACAGTGAAGGTGTTCCCAACAGCACTGCACCGGAGTGGTTGCCTGGGCTCTCTCCCTCTTGGCAAGCTTTCCCGCTGCTTGTCCAGCTAGGACCACCCTACCCTTTAGGGGTTTGGCTTGTAGGGTTAACAGGAGTTGAGTGGGAGGATTCCCTGCCCCCAGTGACTGGGCTGCCCTTCCAGGTCCTGCCGATGAGCCGGGCCGGGCTGTGCTGTCATCAGCAGTGCCTGGAATACTATGGACCCGCCTGGCTCAGGAACCAGACTACAGACGGTCATAGAGGATTATCGGCAATGTTGAGTGATATCCACCAAGCCGTTCCTGCCCCCTCCCTCCCTCAGTCTGCTCTGCAATGATTGGGGTGAAGGCGAGGGGGCGAGGGGGAAATAATAATAATAATCCTTGCATTCGATATATTGCCTTATCACGTCATTGAGACGTCTCAAAGCGCTTCAGAAGATATACTGTCAAGTGGAGTGACTGCGTTCTGTGGGCGAAACGTGGCAGCCAATTGCACACAGCAGTGGCCCCACAAACAGTCGCGGATTGAAGTGACCAAATTATTATTTTTTTTAAATTTGAAGGGATTATTACCCCCCGGAAAGTGATCCGCCAATCGATAAAAACCGGGTTCCTACTCACCGCGAGGTAAACAGAGGCGCGTTGAAGGGTTTATATCTGAAAGTGCTTCATTCACTTCAGGAGGATTTACTACAAAGTGTACAATTGTAGGTGAAAGAAGGAATAAATTACCAGTCGCTGGAACTCATTCCAGTCCATCCATCAGGAATTGCGTTCCCAACCCTTCTACCTTCCGAGCGGGAATTCTAACAGGGAATTTTATTAAAGAGTTCGCATTCCCTGCTCCCCCAACCCCACCTCCACCCCAACCCCCCCCCCACAATATGTAACCCAAACTCATCCACTCAGACTGTTCCTATCTCTATCACCGTGTGTCGCTCACATGTGCCGAGGCTTATTATAGACGACACGCAATGTCTAGTGTCTCAAATAATCTCTAAACTCTACAGGCTCACAATTAAAAAAAAGATTTTAAAAAAGGATTATTTTGCTGCTCTGCTACATTTGCATCCAAGGATCTGAGGAAATTGTTATCGGTGTATGTGTGTCTCTGCCACTCTATAACTGTGTGTGTGTGTGTCTCTCTCTCTCTCTCTCTGACTCTCTATAACTATGTGGGAGTGTGTCTCTGCCTCTCTATATGTGTGTATGTGTGTGTATGTGTGTGGTGGGTGTGTGTTTCTCTGTCTCTCTAACACTGTGTGTGTGAGTTGTGTGTGAGTGAACGTCTCTCTCTCTAACTCTGTGTGTCTCTGTGTATGTCTGCCTCTGTGTGAATTGCTGGGGTGGTAATAGACAGAGTCAGGTGGAGATGGTGGCAGGTAGATAGTTTGATAGATAGGAAGGTGGGCAGATAGATAGTTAGGAAGGGAGGTAGATAGGTAGAAAGATGGGTATGTAAGGAGGGTGGGAACTAGTTAGATGGGTATGTAGGGAGGTAGATATGTAGGGAGGTGGTTGGTTGGGTAGGGAGGTGGGTGAGTAGGGAGGGAGGAGGGAGATAGATAGCTGGTTAGGTGGGTATGTAGTGAGATGGCTAGCTATATAGGGAGGTGGGCAGGTGAAGAGATAGGAAAGTGGGGAGATAGGTGAGGAGATAGGGAGGTGGGGAGACAGGTGAGGAGATAGGGAGGTGGGGAGACAGGTGAGGAGATAGGGAGGTGGGGAGACAGGTGAGGAGTTAGGGAGGCAGGTTTGTGGGTAGATGGGGAGGTGAGTGAGTGCAGGCCTGGTTACCCGGTGGACAAGTAGCCGAGTCTCCTACACAGGATCTCGAATATCTCTGCGGCACAGAGCAGCACGGTGATGACAGTGAAGGTGTACATAGCGCAGAGGAAGATGGTCTTCTCAAAGTGCTCGGGGACCATGCACTTGGTCAGCTTGAGGTGCTTGTCCAGAGAGGCCACATTACAGGTGTAGATGGGGTGGACTTGGAAGCCAAATAGATGGCTCTGCAGCCAGAAGGCCACGATCTCCAACACGATGCGGGACAGGACGGAGATGATGTAAGAAACAGTGTAGAGCGCTCGCTGCAGGATCTCATCCTGGTCAATGTTACAGCAAGCGGCGTAAAGGTGGAACACAGCGCCCGGCACCAACACCGTCACCAGCTGTAACGCCCAGAATACCTGAGGGTGAGAGAGAGAGAAAGAGAGAGAGAGAGTGAGTGTGAGAGTGAGGGAGGGAGAGTGAGAGGGAGAGAGTGAACCACGCCTGGCACCCAGCACCGTCACCAACTAATGCCCAGAATACCTGAGAGAGAGAGAGTATGTGAGAGAGATGGTGTGAGAAAGAAATAGAGAGAGAGTGTGTGAGAGAGAAAGAGAGAGAGATGGGGTGGTGGGAGTGTGAGGGTGAGAAAGGAAAAGTGAGTAAGAGAGAGAGAAAGTGAGAGAGTAAAAGAACGTGTGAGCAATAGAAAGAGTGAAAGTAAGAGAGAGGGAGAAAGTGAGAGAAGGTATGAAAGAGTGAGATAGAGTGTGAAAGAGAGAGTGTGTGAGAATGAAGAGGGAGAGCGAGAGAGAGAAAGGGAGAGAAAGAGTGAGAGGGAAGAAAGATTGAAAGAGAAAGTAAGAGAGGGAAAGAATGAGATAGAGCGTGAGAGATAGAGAAAGAGTGAGAGAGTGAGGGAGACAGAGATAGACAAATAGAGAGAAAAAAAGGGAGATTGAAATCAGACAGTTTTCCGGAATAATCCAGGGCTCATGTACACACAACGCTGACGAGAGACATTTGATGAAAGGACCTCTTTTTGTTCCCCTGGAAAAGTGCATTGACAAACACACAGGCCCTCCCTCGCTGATCTTTCTCTCTCTCTCTCTCTCTCTCTTTTACTCTCTCTCTCTCGCTTTCCCTCTCACTCCTTTTCTCTCTCTCTTACTCTCTCTCACTCGCCGTGAAGCGCTTTGAGACGTCTCGACGACATGATAAGACGCTATATCAAATGCAAGGATTATTATTATTTATTTCTCTTGCAGAGGTCACGGAGGAAGGCTGTGGCGAGACCGTGTAAGAGTTTAACTGTAAGCCTGGTCTTCTCCAAGACCCCCCGCCCTGCCTGCTCCACCATTGGTGGTTGGGCCTCAGCCTCTCTGCCCCCACCCTCTGGAACTCAATCTCGGATCCCCTCCAACGCGTACCCTCCCTCACCTCCGTCAAGGTCTATCTCAAAACCTTCCTCTTCAACCGCGCTTTTGGTTAGCTTCCCAACTCCACCCCACCCCCCCCCCCCCCCCTTGGCCTCCACCAAAATTACATTGATACAGAGACTTCCACTTTGGAAGGCTATGCCAAGGCCCTGGATGGTTAAGGGTTTACACCCGAGCTGGGGGTTGGAATCAAGTGGTTGGATTGTTGGGGTGGGGGGTGGGGGTGGGTGGAAATGGGAGGATGGCCAAAGGCATGGTCAAATATCAAGGTCTTGAAGTCAAACCTTGAAGGAGGCAAGGGAGAGGGACAAGGTGGAGGGGCTCCAGGATGGAGTTCAGAAGGTGGGAGCAGAGAGGCTGAAGGCTCAACGACTGATAGTGGAGAAGTTTCTCCTAAACTCCCTTAGACCTGTTACTGGCAGAAATTAGAAGTTAGCATTTATATACACTTCACGTAGGATAACATCTCTTGTTAGCACTTGTAGACACTATCAAGGACAATAGATACACCCTGTTGCATTAGCTCGGTAAATAGATCACTGATTGCTCTAGTGATTGAGGTGAAATGTGTTTAAACAGCAAACATTTGAATAAACATTTGAATAAGCATTTTAATTGCGTAGAAAGACTTTGGACATATTTGTTTTTTTATTTGGAAAAAAAACTTACTGTCAAGGGGCAGCCATTTTGTTTTGGTAAAATAATAATCCTCACACCCGATATTATGCCTTTTAGATCAGGAGGACTTGTCAGAGCCCATCACAGGATTTCACTGTGAAGCGATGTGACTGAGTGTTTTGTGGGTGAATCGAGGCAGTCAATTTGTACACAGTAATGTCCCGCAAAACAGCCATGGAGTGAGTGATCAATTTGATTTGGGGGATTGTTGGCCAGGACACCGGGAGAGAGAAACTCTCTTCTCTTTTTCGAACAACAACAAATTACATTTACGCAGCGCCTTTCATGTCAGGAGGATGTCCCAAGCCACTGGACAGTCAGGGATCCACACCCGAAATGGGTGATGGCATCAGGAGGAATGGAGGGCAGGGAGGGTATGGGAATGGGGTTGACCGGTTGAAAAGGAGCGACTTGAGACGGATCTTGAAGGGGGCAAGGGAGGGGGCGAGGTGGAGGGACTGCGGGATGGAGTTCCAGAGTGTGGGGGCAGAGAGGCTGAAGGCCCACCTGCCAATTGTGCGGTGGGAAAGGTGGGGGATGTGAAGCAGGCTGGAGCCCGCTGAGCGGAGGGAGCGGGCAGGTTGGTAGGGGGTTAGGCGGTCGCAGAGGTAGGGAGGAGCAAGGCCATGGAGGGCTTTGAAGGTGAGGACCAGGCATATGGCTTGAACCCAATAAATGCTGGGTTAATAAGTGCTCCGGGACGCTACCCTGTGTGAAGGGCGCTATATAAAAGCAAGTTGTTGTTGTTAATAGTAATAATCCTTGCTTTTGATATAGCGCTTAATCACGGCTTCGAGACGCCTCAAAGCGCTTCACAAGATACACTGTAAAGTGAATTGACTGTATATTTTGTGGACGAAACATGGCAGCCAATTGTGATTTTATGTGACCTCAAAGTCCCAGACTTGTGTAGAGAGGCAAAGATGGGAGGGAGCTTGATCCCGCAACTTGTTGACCCGGAAATGATCTGATTGTTTTACCTGTGGGGTTATCGGCCTGAACTGGTTATAGCAGAAGAGGTTTAACTCCCTCCTGTCTGGATCGCAGCTGAAATGCAGGGCCTCGTTGCCGTAGACAGCGAAACCCAGAACTCCCAGGAAGAACATACGTACTGAGCCGAAGAACAGGGTGTGGAATTGGCCTATAACAGTCGGAGGCCTGAGCTAAAGGCAATGAGAGAGAAAGAGAGAGTTACACAAGCGATATAAGACGTCTCAAAGTGCTTCACAGAATATACTGCAAAGTGAATTGAGCGGGCAGGTTGGCAGGGGGTTAGGCGGTCGCAGAGGTAGGGAGGAGCAAGGCCATGGAGGGCTTTGAAGGTGAGGACCAGGCATATGGTCCTTTTTGCGGGCAAAATTCAGCAGCCAATTGAGCACAGCAGCGTCCCACAAACAGTCGTGAATTGGGTGACCAAATAATTATTATTATTTTTGAAGGGTTTATTACCCCCGGAAAACTGATCCCCCAATCGACTAACAACCAGGTTCCCACTTACTGCTTGGTAAACAGAGTCGTGTGGAGCAAGGAAACTTGCCTAAGGTTTTGCCCTGGCTGGGAATTGAACCCAGGTCAACTGTAACAGGAACCCACTTGCGAGGCGAGTGCTCTAACCAATACGCTACAAGGTCACAGCAGCATATCCCCGACCCCTCAAAGAACCTTGCAGTATATCAAAGGAGGCCATTTGGGCTCATTGCACTCGTGCTGGATCTCTGGAATAGATCCTCGTTCAGTTGCCCCTCACTCCACCCTCCCCTCCTCCACACCAACTCACTCTCTCTTGACAAACATGGTAATAATAATACTTGCATTTGATAAAGCACCTTATCACACTGTCAAGATGTCTCTAAGTGCTTCACAGGATTTTTGCTATAAACGTTTAGTGACTGCATTTTTTTTGCCAAAATGTGGCAACGGATTTGCACAAACCCAGCAATGTCCCGCAAACAGCCGTGGAGTGAGTGACCAATTTTATTTGGGGGATTGTTGGCAGGACACCAGGAGAGAGGAACTCCTTTCTCTTTTCGAATAGCCCCATGGGATCTTTAACATCCACCTGAACAGGCGGACAGGGCTTCGGTTTAACGTCTCATTGAAGGATGGCACCTTCGGAAATGCAGTACTCCCCCAGCAATACACTGGAGTGTCAGCCTAGATTATTGAGTTCAACATGCTCAATGTGGGATTCGAACCCACAACCTTCTGACTCAGAGGCGAGAGTGCTGAGCCAGGTTGACAGTTTTGTCCAATTCCCTTTTAAAAGCTATTTGGTGTTGAGTGTTCAATGACCTAATAACCCCGTGTGATTGTGTGTGTGTGCGTGTTTTGTGTTTGTGACTGTGTGTGCGCGTGTGTTTGTTCCTGTCTAACAGTCACTGGGGGTAGAGAATCCTCCCACTGAGCTCCCGTTAACCCTGCAAGCCAGAGCCCTAACAGGTAGGGTGGTCCTAGCTGGACAAGCAACGGGAAAGCTTGCCAGACAGCGATAGCAATGGTAAGCTAATCGATTTTATCTTGTTTGACTCCACCCCATACTCCGGGGTCCCCAAGCCATGGTTCTTGCCAACCTGGAATAGGTAAACAAGATGTGTCTCTCTGGAGGTGAGGGGCAGAGAGCGTGCATTTCATCAGAGACTCAGGGAGATTCCTTCTGGAGAGAGGCACATGTGGAACTCTTTTTTGTTGGTCGGTCATGGGTCTGACACATGTGGAAACCCATACCGTGCTTGAGAATATCCAAACCAAGCTGAGAATTCCATGCATCCACCTACACATGGAAACTTCATAGGTATTTATTGGAATGGGATGTGCACTCTCTCTATCGGGTGCTATGTTGCCTACCAGGAAGCTCACAGGAAATTTCTTGTACCACCGAGTGGCGGGCTAACCACTACGCTACGGGACTTTGTGGATTCCTGTAGCATAGTGGTTAGGGCACTCACCTTGCAAGCGAGAGAACCTGGGTTCAATTCCCCAGCAGGGCCAAACGTTAGGCAAGTTTCCTTGCTTCACAGGCCTCTGTTTACCTAGCAGTAAGTAGGAATCCAGTTGTTAGTCAATTGGCAGGATTATCCAAGGAGTAATCCCTGACAATAATCCCTCCAAAAAAATAAGAATACATAAATAAATAAATACAATTGGTCACTCAATCCACGACTGTTTGTGGGACACTGCTGTGTGCAATTGACTTGACTTAGGAACCCCAGAGTGTGCGTTGGGGTAACTGCTGGAGTCTAACCAGCTGAAACTGTATAGCTTGCCATTGGTAGGATAGGACTGTCTGGGAAGTTTCCCACTGCGAGGACCACCCTACTCATTGGGTCTTTGGCTTGCAGGACTAACAGGAGCTGAGTGGGAGGAGTCTCTGGCCCCAGTGACTGTCTGCCTCTCAAAGTGCCACCAATGAGCCAGGCTGGGCTGTGCTATGATCAGCAATGCCCTGGAATACAGTGGACCTGCCTGGCTCAGGAACCACTCTAGAGACTGTCACAGAGGGCTTCATCAATTCCGCCATTCTGTTGCCAAACATGTCACCGTGGAGCCAGTTCAGCATGGACATCCATCAAGCATGGGTTTGAGCCTCACTAGGTGGATGGCAGATACCAGGAACTCCCTGCGAGCTTTGCAGTGAGCAACACAGCTCAGCATGAAATACATGAGGGCATTGCCACCATCTTCCTGCTCACGGCTCAGGCACAGGACCCTTCCCATTGAGCGATGGTTCCACCAGTTGGAGTTGTGGAGTTTAAGCACCAGCTGCTGGCCTCTCTGCAGCCAATCAAAGTGGATTCCAGGTGCTGGACATACGTACATGTGTTCACGAACTCGGAGAAACTCATACATACGTATGTAGAACTCTCAAACTGATTGGGATACTGCTAAGCAGAGTGATGGTTTTCCAGGAGTGTCGAATGTAAAAAGAACCCTTCTCCCTTCTCTTCCCTGAGAGGATAGAGTTCAAAATCCTTGTTGTTGCCTTCAAAGTCCTTCATGGCCTCGCTCTTCTCTACTTCTGTGGACCTGCTAACAGTGATCTGTCTGCTCCCTCTGCTCAGTGGGCTCCGGTCTACTCCATGTCCCCCACCCAGCCCAGCCCGGCCCAGGATCTCCGGTCAGTCCTTCAGCCTCTCTGCCTCCACCCAATGCTATTCCATCCCAGTCCCTTTGTCTTGCTCCCTCCCTCTGATCCTTCAAGACACGTCTCAAGACCCTTCGACCACACCTTCAGTCAACCTCCTACTTCCACCCTCCCTCCCTGCCCTCCACCCCTCCTGATCCCAAACCCCAGCTCGGATCCAAATCCCTGACTGTCCAGAGTTTTGGGACGTTTCCCCCAACGTGAAAGGCGCTGTACACATGTAATTTGTTGTTGTTGCCTCGTGGTGTCTGGCTCTACCAGGTGTTAGTCATTATACTTACACATCCTTCGTAGAAATTTTTGATGTAGTTTAAGGACATCTCCTGACAGATGCTAGGCTAGCAGAAACGTAACAGCCCAGAACATACCGGGCAGCCACTGATCACTGGCACCAGACAAAAAAAATAATAAAACCACAAGCCTTCCAAACCTCTGGCTTCCAACAATGTAGAAAACTCTTGCTGTTGCATTTCTCTCTATGTGTGAGAGAACGAGAAAGAGAGAGACAGAGAGAGAGGCACTCTGTCAAATGCGGAAGGGGAGGGAGAGGAGGGTGGGAGGGGTGGAGCGGTTGGTGGTGGGGGGTGGAGGCTGGGGCCGGTTTGGGGGCAGAGGGAGAGAGAGAGACAGGACACCTTCCAATCGACCTGCTCACTCACGCTAGGGATTGGAAATAAAAACAAAAGGTTGGACAAAGCGCAGAGGCACGTGGCTGTGTGGCTGATCTCTCTCTGTCCTGCTGTCAGCATAAATTCACAGCGACGGCCGCACAATTGGAAAGATAGGAAAGTCAACAAAGGACATATTCCCCCACAGGTCAGAGCCGTTGGCTTGAGATGCGGAGCACAGAGAGAACTGAGTGGGAGAGCGAGAGCGTGAGAGGGCGAGAGAAAGAGCGAGTGGTAAAACGATTAAGGAACGCAGTTGACAAAGAGTTGGAAGCGAGGAATAAATGATCCTTAAAAACAAGAAAACATCCATCATGTTACCGAGAGCGACGGGGGCACGGATAATAATAATAATTCTCGCATTTGATAGAGCGCCTTATCACGTTGTTGAGACGTCTCAAAGCGCTTCACAGAACGTACTGTAAAGTGAATTAATTGGCTATATTTTCTGGGCGAAACACAGCAGCAGATTGCACACGGCAGTGTTCCACAAACACTCATGGATTGAGTGACTACATTTTTTTTTTCAGGGATTTTTTCCGCAGGAAAGCGATCCACCAATCGACTAACAACCAGGTTCCTACTTACAGCTCAGTAAACAGAGGCACGTGGAGGAAGGAAACCTGCCTAAGATTTTGCCCTGTCCTGGAATCGAACCCTGGTCCTCTCGCTTGCGAGGCGAGCGCTATAATCACTATAGGCTTTCTCAATACTGAATTAGTTTCTCTCTGCCGCTCAATGCGCGTTTTTAATCTCTCGCTCTCTCTCTCTCAGCAAAGCTGGGCTAAGTTTAAAGGGACGGTCTCCACGTCTCTCTCAGAGTTAGAACCGGGCTGCGTGGGCGCAGATGGTACTTTAAGAGAAACATCGCCGCGAAAGACGGTGAGCTGGAAAACAGAAAAAGGAAATAGAATCTTAGACTCCTACAACACAGAAGGGGACCATTCAGCCCATCGTGCCTGTGCCAGCTCTCTGATAGAGCTACCACCTAGCCCCAGGCCCCGCTCTTACCCCTTAGCTCTGCAAGTGTTTCCTTCTCAAGTATTTATCCAATTCTCTTTTGAAAGCTACTATCGAATCTGCTTCCGCCAGCCTTTCAGGCCGTGCGTTCCGGATCGTAACAACTCGCTGCGTAAAACGATTTTTCCTCGTTCTCCCCTCCGCCTCTCACACACACACACACACACACACGCTTTCGCTCTCCAACATTGCTCTTTATAATCACAGTAACAAACCTTACATTTGATACTGTGCTTTTAACGTTAGGAGGGTGTCTCGGGATTTTATTGTAAAGTGTAGTGACTGTGTATTTTGCTATGAATGCGGCAGCCAACTTGCACAATTGCCAATGTCCCACAAACAGCCTTGAAGTAAATGATAAAACGTGTAGCTAAATCGTGGAGTCCTGAGAGTAGTGGTTAGTGCACTCGGCTCGCAAACAAGAGGACCCGGTTCGATTTCCGGTCGGGCGAAACCTTAGGCAAGTTTCCTTACTCCACACACCTCTATTTACCCAGCAGTTAGTAGGAACCCGATTGTTAGTTGATTGGCGGTTGCGGTGGTAATAATCCCTCCAAAAAACTTAAATTAAAATAATTTGGTCATTCAATCCAAGTCTGTTTGCGGGACGCTGCTGTGCATAATTTGCTACCCCGTTTCGCCCACAAAATCCTCAGTCAATTTACTTTACAGTATAATCTGTGAAGCGTTTTGAGACTTCTCAATGACATAATAAAGTGCTATATAAAAATGCAAGGATTATTATTATTATTATTATCTCACGGAGGGGGTAGCGGAAGGAGGGAGTGGGGAAGGGTGGGGTGGGGTGAGGGGGAGAGTTGAAGGGCAAGGGAGGTGTTGTCTATCAAAACAGCCCATCTCGCTCTGTATCACTGAGAAACCCATTTCTCTCTGTCGGTCTCTGTCAAATACGGTATGTTTAATACAACAATAATTATCCTCACATTTAGCCACAGCCCCTGTCACATCGCCCAAACATCTCTAAGTGCATCATGGAATTTCCACCTCAAAGGTGAAATACAGGCCCTCAAAACACAGTCACTACACTTTACGGTGAAATCCCATGCAGCGCTTTCAAGATGCAATAAGGCACTGTGTAAAAACGCAAGGATTATTACTATTATTATTCATGGAATCACAGAATCTTACAGCACAGAAGGAGGCCATTCGGCCATCGTACTTGTGCCAGCTCTTTGAAAGAGCTACCAACTAGTCTCACTCCCCCGTTCTTACACCATAGCCCTGCACTTTTTTCCTTCTCAAGTCCCTATCCAATTCCCTTTCGAAAACTATTACCTAATTTGCTTCCACTACCCTTTCAGGCTCTGCATTCCACATCCCATCAACTCTCCGGGTAAAAGATTATTAGCACAGAAAATGATCCAGATCAAAATTAGAATCGACGCAGAGAGAGAGGTACATCACGTGCAGTTATATATACAAGGTCTCGCATCTAAACAAGTAAAAAAATCCACACACCAACCGTAATCCAGGCGAACCGTTAATGCCCCCCATTCACAGACTGAGTTCTGTCCTTCTAAAATGTTTGATGACCTGCAAGATTGTCATGATTGAGGGACTTCATGAATGGAGGCCACTTTCACTTTCTCTCTCTCTCTCTCTCTCTTTCTCACTCACTATCTGTCTCTTTCTCTCTTTTTTATATCTTTGCTGTTTCCTTTGAAGCTAGAAAATTGGCTCAGAGAAATTGTGGAGATACTTTCTCTCTCTCTCTCTCTCTCTCTTCTCTCTCACTCTTCCCCTCTCTCTCTCCAAAATCAATAAATAAATGAAAGAGGGAACAAGCTGTTTACCTCCAAAGACAGGTAGTGATTGACTTTCCACATGGGATACGGGGGTCAGCATCACGTAAGCCCATCTCTTCCATTGGGGACTATTCACAACAGTGGCGCTGTGGAATGCAGCCAAAACAACACACACCCAGACAAAGGCCAACCAGCAACAAAAAAAAAGCCAAACACAATGACACTTTGACACCGCATTTATTCTGCACTTGACAGGTTACGCCCAACCAGCTCTATTGCACAGCTTGCTTGTAAACTTCCCGTGGGACAGGATCAGTGTTGCATTTGAGAGCAGGAGGAACAGGTGACATGGGAGGTGGGGTTTGGCGGGGAGAGGGGAAGGGATGTAAGCGGGATCTCCTAGGAGCTGAAATGTCAGTGGAATGTCAGAATCCAAGTCAACTCACTGCGGACGGTGTTTCAGGCCACTGCTGATGATAGACCAGTCAGCTGGCTCATTTGCGCACAGCAGTGTCCCACAAACAACTGTGAAGCGAGTGACTAAATTTATCTGGGGATTTGTTGGCCAGGACACCGGGAGAGAGAAACTCCTTCTCCTTTTGAATAGAGCCACGGGATTTTTAACATCCATCTGAACAGGACCTTGGTTTAAAGTCTCAGCCGAAAGACGGCACCTCCGACAAGGCAGTGTTCCCCCAGCGCTGCTTTGGAGAATCACCTTAGACTATGTGATTCCCAAGTTCTGATGTGGGGCTTGAACCCACAGCTTTCTGACTCAGAGGCACAAGAGAGAGAGAGAGCGCTGCCAATGATCCAAGCTGACACAGGCTGATGAACCAGTCTATAGATTCTTTGAAAAGGAAATTGAATAGATAGAACTTGACAACACAGAATAAGGTCATTCAGCCCATCGTTAGAGATGGTTAAAAATGAAGCATTTTAAAGGTTATAGTGGGGGAGGGAGGGAGGGAGCAGGAGAATGGGATCAGATTGTGTCAAAGGTACTATATATATTATATACAAGATAGGAGTTCTGTAGTGGTTAGAGCACTTGCCTCACAAGTGAGAGGACTTAGAATTGATTCCCGGGCAAGGCAAAATGTTAGGCAAACTTCCTTACTCCACATGCCTCTGTTTACCTAGCAGTAAGTAGGAAACCGGTTGGCACATTGCTTTTCCAGGGGTAATAATCTCTTCAAAAATAATAATTTGGTCACTCATTCCACGACTGTTTGTGGGACGCTGCTGTGCGCAATTGTCTGCTGCTTTTGCCCGCAAAATATACAATCAATTCACTTTACAGTATATTCTGTGAAGCATTTTGAGACGTCTCAAAGATGTGATAAGGCACTATATCAAATACAAGGATTATTATATATATAAACATATGTATAATATAATAATTGAGTATTAGGCACAGGTTGGCGAGAATGTGTATTTTATTATATTGAAATATTTCATGATGCAGTAAAACACTAGTGTGGACTTGATACACTGAACAGTCTATTTCTGTGCTGAAACTTATTAATGATCCTTGCAGTTAACACAGCCCATATCACATCAAAACCCTTCACACAGATTTCTGTAAAGTGCAACAGTTGTGTATTTTGTATTTTGTAGACGAAACGCGACAGCCAATTGCACACAACAATGTCTCAGATATAGTCATGGAGTGAGTGACCAATTTTATTTGGGGGATTGTTGGCCGGGGACATAGGGAGAAAGAAACTCCCTTCTATTTGAACAGTGCTATGGGATCTTTAACGTCCACACACAGAGAGCTCAACAGTGGCGGAGCCTGACTCTGAGCCGGGGGCGCGAGGGCGGAGGTGACCGCAAGCACGGTCGAAAAGGAAGGTTTTCAAG